ACAGCCGAGAAAACTGAGACCCAGAAAGGGGAGTAATTTGCCCAAGGTCACACAGCAAGAGCCAAGATTTGAAAATCTCTGGTCTGGAGAAGGCAAGATATGGGGGCAGTAACACAGAACCCTCACCCCCGAGTCAGTCCCTGACATTCTCTGTAAGGTGGCTCAAGCCAACAAGGAAAAGGAAAACAGATGCCTGATTCTGGGGGCAAGTGGCCGTGGGGAGAGCTGAGTTTCAGAAGCAAGGAGAACTGGGTTCAAACTCCAGCCGCAACCCTCACCAGCTGTGTGACCTTGGGCCAGGCCCTTCCCTTTCTGAGCCACGGCCTCTCCGCTATGAGATGGAGACAGGATGCCCTGGGTAAGCGATGACTCACTCTCAGGCTCGGCTGGTCCAGGGGTGCAGGCCAGACTCCACTGGCTCCATGGGTTTTGGATCCTGCAGGCTGGGACTGTGCTGTGAATACTTCTGGAGAACTCTGATGCGGTTGCCACAGCGCACGCGCGGCACCCATTCCTGTTTCATCAACCTCCCAGTTCTGCTGGCACAGAGATTGCACCAGAGCAGACTGTGGCTTCCAGAAAGGCCTCTGCAGGACAGGCTTGGTGACAGTGGAGCCAACCTCCGGTCCCAGCACCCCCTCCCTGCTGAAGCCCGTTCACAGCCTGAGCAGGTGCCTGATTCTACCAGTAATGCCTCAGTCACCGGCTAAAAAGCTATTCCAGTCCCTGCTGCTGCTGCTGCTGCTTTTTTTAAACAAGCTCTCTCTTCAAATTGTAAATGCCCGAGGGGGTTAATACCTTAGCTTGCAATGAATCATTTCACTGGCCTCTCCTGACACTCAGCTATGAGAGGGGGTGGGCAGGTGGCCTGGCTGGTTGGGCCCCTCACCTCCGTCCACCTCCAGGAGTGGGGAGACCCAGCCCTCCCCTCCCAGGGCCCAGAGGTCCAGCCAGCTCCTCCTATGGCAGAAATGCCTCCTAGGAGGTTACTCCACCACCCATCACACTGCCCTACCTCTGAGTCCCTCCTTCCCTGACTCAGGGCCACTCTCTCCTCCTCGGCCCCAGCCCCTGCTGAACTCTAGACACTAGACTCCATTGCTCCTCAGGCTTTCCCCGCCCCCTCCCATGCCAGGCCAGAAGCCTCCTGCCCACTCACACCAGCTGGTGGGCCTCAGGCCCCATCAGTCCTGCCTCCTGAATGCTCTTTTCATCCCCTGACCCCTGGCCTGAGCCTCATGGCATGTCACCAGCCACTGCAGTCTCCCCCGACTGGTCCCTTTCTAGAACTGTCTGGCAAAGGGCCTCCAAACTTAAGTCCCTTCTTTCAATGCTGTCAGCTACTCTCAGAAGGACAGCTCATCCCAGCATTCAAGGCCCCACTGACTTTACCTGCCTTATTTCCTATATCTGATAACACGTGCCATGCATTTTTTAATTCCCCACAGCAGGGAGAAAAAATTATTCATTGTTTCCCTGAAATTAAAATTGAACTGGGTGTTCTATATTTTACCTGGCAACCTAATGTCAGTCCAAACACCCTGGACAACATCATGAGGGTTTTTTTAGCTTAATTTTTTTTTTTTTTTTTCAGCTGCGCCATGAGGCATGTGGGATCTTAGCTCCCGCACCAGGGATCGAACCTGCGCCCCCTGCATTGGAAGCACAGAGTCTTAACCACTGGACCTCCAGGGAAGTCCCCTTTTAATTTTTTAGTATAGCTACATTTAAGTGCAATATCTTGGACATACTTGTACCAAAAAACTGATTCATTGTTTATCTGAAATTCAAATCTAATTGGGCATCCTGAATTTTTATTTGCTAAATCTGGCAACCTAGGTCCTACATAGGTAATAGGGACCAGGGGGACTGGCAAGGGTCGGACAGCCCCAACCTGGACCCTGAAAACTCTGCCCCGCAGTCAGCCTGAAAGCCTCCTTTCCAAACCTCTGCCCTGGTACCTGGAAGGGGCGGGAGCCCAGAGACTCCTTGGGAGGAATTATTCCACTGCTGCCCACTTCTCTCCTCTCTCTGGGCCTAGTTTCCTTCTCTATAAAATGAAACTCATGGTTTCTCTGTCCCGTTTCCCAACCTCTCCCAAGGATCAAACACCTCAGTAGAGTAGGGGATTCTCAGCTGACCGGATGTTTGCCTTTGCAGAAGGCAAACAGGCTTGTGAGAGTTTCTGTTCTCTGGCTCACCAAAGGGCCTTGAGGAATAATTAAGACAAAAGGTCCTTTTTGGCTTGTTTTTTCCCAAAGTACCTCTAAACCAGTTAGTTAAACTACCTCAATGATAATTGATTCAGACATGATCATCAACTAAAAGCATTGGATGAAAGTTTGTTGGGAATTAGGACATTCACAGGGTATCAAAGTAAAAGTTACCTTTACAATAGGGAGACCAGGCAGGCGCCAACAGGCAGGTGACCCATCACCTGCCCTTTGATCCCATCTGTCTCCAGGCTAAAGGAGACTAAAGACCCCTGGCCAAGTAAAGGCCATGCCTGACCTGGGATTAGAGCCTGGACCGCAAAAAATAATGGCTAGAAAGGACATTATGGGACAACCGGGACAAGTGGAATGTGGACTGGGGATTAGACACCTGTGTTGTTTCAATGTTAAATTCCCTGAATTTGATACTGCACAGTGGTATGTAGGAGAATGGCCTTGTTCTTGGGAGACGTGTGGTGAAGTGTGTAGAGGTGAAGGGCTACATATCTGCAACTAACTCTCCACGGTGCAGCCAAAGTAAACGGTAGATAGGGAGGAAGGGGAAAAGGGCTCAAAGGCTAACAGCTGGTGAATCCGGTGGTTCATTGTACTATGCTTGCAACTTCTCTGTACATTGGACATTTTTCCAAATAAAAAGTCTGAAGGAACACCCACCCAGAATAAAATATCAGAAGTAGAAGGGGTCTTAAAGACCTTGTTCCCTGACCCTTTCCCAGAGAGGGGAAGGCCTTGGCCTGTGCTCACACAGTGAATGGCAGCTGAACCCTCCCCACTTGGACTGAGTTCCAAGAGCAGGAATGGGCCACCTAACCAATGTCACCTCTGGTTCTTCTCCCCGCTCTCCCTCACCCGCCAACGCTCTGCCCCTGGGGCCACCCTACAGTTATATGGGAGATGAGCAGCTCCCGGAGTCTGGGGAGAACTCTGCCCTGCCCCTCCCAAAGAAACTGGACCACAACTCCTTCATGCGAGGCCAAGCCTGGCAGGCGGGATACTTTCTAGGGAAGCTTCCAGATGTAACCAGGAGTGAAATCTCCTTTTGTGCTTTACACACTGGAGTGTTTCAGTGGGGTAAGGTGTAAACACAACAGCTTTTACTGTAGTGAGAGCAAAATGCTTCAATAATTTATATTGTTATAATGTTAATCATGTATACTACAACAATTATGAAAAGGTTCAGACAGATAAATAAGAAAAGAAATAGACAGTTAATATGATCTTAAGAGAGGCAACAACAGCAGTGATAACTTTAGGAGGAAAGCTATTTCCTTTTTGAGTCTACAAGTGCATGTAATAATTTAAATGACAAGACAAAAAAATAGATTCCATCCTAATTGTGATTTTTTAGGACTGTTTGTTGGACTAGCATTTATAGCTTTAGTCTAAATAGTATTTAAGTTTTGTTTATTTAAGGCCATTTAGGTGATGATTAAAAGGAGAAAGGCGGGCTTCCCTGGTGGCGCAGCGGGTGAGAGTCCGCCTGCCGATGCAGGGGACACGGGTTCGTGCCCCGGTCCGGGAGGATCCCGCGTGCCGCGGAGCGGCTGGGCCCGTGGGCCATGGCCGCTGGGCCTGCGCGTCCAGAACCTGTGCTCCGCAAGGGGAGAGGCCGCGGCGGTGAGGGGCCCGCGTACCGCAAAAAAATAAAATAAAATAAAGGAGAAAGGCAACTTCGTCACCTCCAAATTTCACGAGAAGAAAATCCAACATCAGACATCCACATTCGTGATAACCATCACCAGTCCAGGTGTAACAAAGAACACGGAGAAAACGAGAAGTGACTGGGGGAAATGCTAAGGTTCGGGGTGGCCTGTGGCTCCCCTGGCCTCTGTGGAAGGTGTCTCTGGAGAGGGCACCTGTGCCGTGGGTGGCCTAGGAAGCACCTAGTCGTGAGAACTTACTGGCTGCACACGCTCAAGTAAAGCTTTCCTATTTGATTACTTCCTTTGCAATCAAGGCCAGAGAGCCCCGGCGGGCCAGCATGGGCCTACACAGAGCAGGCACCTGCCCACTGTCTGTTGAATTCACTCATTCAACAAGTATTTATTGAGCACCTACTATATGCTACTCTATGTTCTGTGCTGGGTTCCAGGCAGGCAGGGGACTTCAAAGCAGAGTCCTGCTCTCAGGAAGCCCACAGTCCACTGTGATGGGGTGGGGCTGCGGGCAGACCATCCCTGAAGAAACACAAAGGGTGACTTTAGCTTAATGCTAAGTGCCAGGAAGACCACAGAGGTTGCCTGGAGAGGGAGTCAGGGCAGGCCTTGCTGAGGACGGAACATCTCACCTGATGCCCAAGCAAGAAGCCAGGGCTGACCCTGAGGCAGTTAGGGATGGTGTTCCAGAGAGGGAAAGGCCTGGAGGCGGGACCAAGCCGAGCAGTTTGAGGAACAAGAAGGCCTGTGAGGCCCAGCAACGTGCTCAGGGGCGCAGGCTGAGGTCAGGCCAAGCGGGGCTTCCTCCTGCAGGCCTTGGAGGCCGCGGTGGAGTTTCCGGATTTTATTTTAGATCCCATCAATAGGGGGCGCCATCTTCTCCCCTTTAGGATGGCAAACGAGGCCCAGAGACTGCCAGCGTCCCACCCGAGGCCACTCAGCGGGTCAGAGCCCCGCCGCAGGCTACCGGGGCGACTACCCCCGCGCCCGGCCTCGCGTTCTAACGGATCCTCTCCCTTCAACCCTCTTCCCGCGGACGGAAGCGGGCGGGGCGGGGCGGAGCCGGGCCTCTAGCTCGGCCTCCCGCCCCCGCGCCCCGACTGGGCCGCGCTCGGGCCCGCCCCTCCTCCTCGGTGACGCGGCCGGGGGGCTGGCTCGGGGCGCGGCGGTCTCGGCGGCGGCGGCGGCGGAGCGAGTGCAGAGCGGCGCCACCATGGGGGCCCAGCTGAGCACGGTAGGCGGGGAGGGGACGCCGGCTGCCGCGGGCCCGGGGCGTCGCTGCGGACCGGCGGGCGCCGGACCCCCGTCTCGGGCAGCGCCGACTGCGCCCGGCCGCTAGGGGCGGGGGGTCCGGGCTCGGACGCGGGGCGCAGGACCCCACCCGGCCCCGCCCCACCCAGCCCGCCGCGCCCCGGTCGTCCCCGTGCGGCCGTGATTCACGCCCGGGCCTCTGCACCCGGGCCCAGCACTCCCGGTCAAGGGGCGTCACCCGGAGGCGGGCGGCCACGCGTTCGGGGCGCCCCGCCCGCCGCCGCCGCCCCCCTCAGCCCGGACGGCCGATGAGTACGGATGTGTGCGCTAGTGCTGAGCGAGTGCGGGGGTGAACGTGGCCGGTGCCCCCGTGTGTGAGTTAGTGTGAGTGCGACTGAACACGTGTGAAGTGTGAAGGAGGGAGCGCGTATGTGTGAGTGTGAGTTTGTGAGGGCGTGTGTGTGACCGGGTGTGTGGGTGTGACGTGTGCGTGTGCAGGAGTGTGTATGGGGGTGAGTGACAGTGAAAGAGTGAGCAGGTGTGCGGGAGTGTGACCGTGAGTACCTGCGAGTGTGTGCGTGTGGAGTGGGTGTGAGGTGTGTGTGTGTGTGTGTGGAGTGAGTGTATGTGGAGTGGGTGTGTGCACGTGGAGTGTGTGCGTGTGGAATGAGTGTGTGTGCGTGTGTGCGCGCACACGTGCGGTGTTGCTGGATCGCAGTTTTTACCGACAACAGCCCCTGAACCCTCTCCGTGGGCTGCAAGCTAGGCTCTGGTCTCTCTTAACCCAGCAAACATGAGAGGCCCCAGCCGTTGGCCCCATTTTACAGATGAAGAAATGCCACTCAAGACTTGGCCACGGGCCGGCTGGCGGAGTCTGAACTTGTGGAGCTGCAAAGTCCATCGTCATGCTGTCACTTTGGTTCGGCCCAGGGCCACCCTCCCTCGCCCTCGGGCCTTTCGAATTTCTCAGAAGCCACAGTGGTGGTGCGTGGCTTGCGCTCCACTTTGAGGCTGTGGCCAGAGGGCAGTCCCCACCCACACATGCGGGTGCCTGGGCGCTGGCTGGGGGCACTTGGGCAGGGCTGCCACTGGGAGGATTAGGCCCAGAGCCTCTTGCCTGGCGTCCTCCTCCACCTCCTCCCTCTGGCTCTGTGGGGCTCCCCCTTGGGGACTCGGCAGAAGGCCTCTTGGCCTGGGTGTTGGCTTGTGAATGTGTGGCCCAGCCCAGGACTCTGGGTGGCGTTCAGCCCAGGGGGCGGCTTTGCCCAGGGCTAGCCTGGGGGCATCACCCCAGCTCAGCGTAACGTCCTGACCGTGTTCCCAGCAATCCCCTTCCTCCCTCACTGCTCAGCCTCCGGACCGGAACCCAGACCCCCGCCCCTGCTGTTTTCCCACAGTGCTTCTCACCTTCTAGCCGTGTTGGTTGGGTTTGTCTCTGTGTCCCCAAGATCTGGCTGCTCAGTGTTTGTGCCGAGGAGCCAAGGACCCCTCGGAGCCCCTCTATGAGGGGCAGAGCCCCGTCTGAGCGTCAGGAGACCTTCACCAACTCCTAAGCCTCCTCTATCCAAAGGGTGGCAGGGTTGCCCTTTCCTCGTGGGCCCTGCCGGGGTCCCCACTTGAGCCCAAATACCCGGAGCAGACCCCAGGCAGGCCTCCTGGCACAGCGGCTCCACGCCGTCTGCGGGAGGCCAGCACGGGCTCTGGGCACCAGGCGTCTTATCTGAGACGTGCAGGCCCTGAGAGAGGCCTCCTCCCACACACCGGAAGTGGGGACGCCGAGGGGTTGGCACTTGAACCTGCCAGCCACCTGGGGGTATGTTGGGGGCTTAGCCTGCCGTCCCCGACTCTGGCTCCCCTTCCCCCAGCACAGTTGTGAGTGCTCAGTGGACCCTGACAGGCCGCCACCACAGGTAGAGTCCAAGGCTTTTCCCCTGCCCCTGGCAGCTCTGTGCCTAGTCTGTGGTCCAGACACCCAGCCCCTGGGAAGCAGGGCTGGGTCTCCCCTGTGGAGGGCAGCTCCACTGTCCACCTGCCCCTCCTCCTGGGTTCCCTTTCCCAGAATTGCAGAGCCAGGAGCCCCTCGCTGCAGAGCTTCCTCCACTCCCTCCCACTTGCTCCTGCTTCCCGAGAAGGGGGCCATGAGGGAGGTGGACATGCAGATCCCAGCTGGACAGCTGGCGGGCAGCGGGCAGGGAAGCCTCAGCACAGGGGGCTGGCAGCTGGGGGGTCCTGGCAGGTCCCTTTGCCCACCCAGACCTGACCTGGGTAGAGCGGATGGCAGGGTCCCTGTGGGGAGTTCCAGGGGGTGAGCAGCTGACTGGGTGCCACACGGGGGTACTAGGGCTCCCCAGCTCCTCGGCTGTGGTGGGTGAGCTGGGGGCTCCCTGGAGGCATCCTGGGACTCTGGCACCCCGTTTCCCTCTCCCCTTCCTGTGTTAGCAGAGGTGGGGAAAGGCAGGTGGTGGGTTCCCTGGTGGGCACTGTGTGGCCTATGGGGCACCAGGTCAAGGCCTGGCGAAGCAGCTGTCCCCTAGCTCCCCTGGGGAGCTGGGGTGACGTGGTGTGTGTGTGTGTGTGTGAGCAGCACAGCTGAGGAGGAGCTGGGGTGGGACCTTGGCTTTGGCCGCCTGCCTCCTGTTTACTCTGCCCACTGCTTGCAGGGGTGGGAGTGGTGCCTTGGACGGGGAACAGGGCATCCCAGCCCCTTGTGAGTCTGGTAAAGCCTCCAGTTTTCCAGAGACGAAGCTTCGCCTTTCCACGGCACCCTTCTCTCTGCCCGTGTCCATCTCCCACACTGGCTTGAGCTCCCCAGGGACGCGGTCCCCTGACCTGTGTCCGCCGCATCCCACATGGGTCCTGACAGCTGTGCCCACTGGGGTTTGTGACCTGAGGACTGACTGACAGTGAGGGTCGGCTCACAGCTGCCTCCAGAGAGGAATTTGTACAAAGTCCACCCTTGCTCTCTCAGTGGCCCGACTGTCCGCAGACGCAGAGGGACTGTGCAGGGCTGGGGCTCAGTGCTCGGACCGAGCTGGGTGCCAGTTCTCACCCTGTCTTAGTGTCCTCACTGAAGTGCAGTGGCCATAGCGCCCGCGTCCCGGGCTCAAGGACTGTGCGAGATACGAGAGTGTCGCGTCTGGGCACGGGGACTGGAAGGAAGGCCGCTCACATTATCCACCGCTCACTGGCACAGCTCCTTCCAGCAGCGGCTGCAGTCCCACCACACCTCTGGGAGGCAGGTGTAGAAACAGCCAGGAGTTCAGGATCCAACCCCTCAGCCCTGTGCTCCGTGGAGGGCCGAGCCCCACCCTCCCCCTGGAGGCATCTGGTCCCTTGTCCTGGTTGCGGAAACTTTCAGACAAAGTAAGAAAAGTCAGAGAGAGACTGCAGTGCAGGGGCTTGTTCTTGTCCCTTCGTGAATTTATCCACGAATATTTACTGAGTGTCTCTGCTCTGAGTGCTAGAGATGAGACACCAGGTCCCCCGCCTTCCTGGGTCTGCCGTCGCACATTGTCTGTGACCTCACGTGGGAACCTGGCCCAGCCGTGGGAGCCCAGGGCTGGCAGCCAGGGCACACGAAGCTGGCGCCTGGGATCCGCAAGTTCGGTGTAAGGGCCAAGGCCAGTGTTGAGGACTCATCTTCAGAACTGTTGACAAATGAGTCATTTTCACGGCTCAGCACGTAACCATGGGCTGGCATTTGGGGCAGGTGAGAGATTTGGGGTGAACGACAGAAAATTGGGAACCGAAGCCCAGACTCCACCCTGGGCCTCCCTGAGCCACAGTTTCCTCGTTTGTCAAATGAAGAATGCAGTTGGCCTGTCTCCCAGTGCGGAGGGTCAGTGAGGAAATGGAAGGGAAGGTGCTTTGCAGACTGTGAAGCGAGCTGCAGGCCAGGGGGGTCTTAGTTATTAAACTTGGCTGACCACTTAAACGGCTGTGCTGGGGGGAAATAAAACTCCAGAGAGCACCAAACATAACTCCACTTGGGCTCTTAATGTCGTTTAAGTTTATTTCCAGGACTCCCAACAATGGTGATTTCCTGCAAACGTAGCTTCGCTCAACTTTTTCCCTAAACAATGTTCTCCATGGATATGGCTTCCCTGACTGATGTGGGAGAGGCCTGGAGCAGAGGAATCATCAGTCACCCTCATCCCCGTGGAGTTTGCAGAGGCTGGGGTGGGGGGGGGGCTCCGGATGTCTGCTGAGGGCTTGCTTAGCTAGAGGGTAAGAGTTGACGTTTGAGCTGGGCTCTGGAAGTGGGATAGGAGTTGTTGGATGAGGGAAGAGAAAGGGCATTCAGGGCAGAAGGGAGAGTGTGCAAAGGCCTGAGGCAAGACAGGCTTGTGACCGGATAGTGGGGACCTTGAGTGTTGGCAGTGGGGAGCCGTGGTGGGCGTTTGGGGGTGGCAGAGCAGCCTGTTAGTCTGGGCGGCTGGGGCTTCACTGCAAGAGCCGGGAGATTGGACTGTGCTGGAGCAAGGGGACTTGGGCTGTGGGCTCCAGGGCATCTGTCCTGGGAGGCGGCTTGGGAAGAGCCACACTTAGGGCTGGACAGGCCTGGGTTGCGTGGCCATGGGTGAGTCACTTAATCTCTCTGAGAAATGGGTGTGAGTCCTCTGAGGACTGGCTTTCCTGATCTGGAACTTGATGATAATCACAGTACCTACAGCCTAGGATTGAAGTGAGGATTATGCCGGAGAATTCACGTCCCACTCTTGGAGCAGCGCCAGCTCGGGGACACTGGCCAGTTTGCTCTAACATGGCCTGTTGCAGCCTCGATTCCTCCCCAGCCCTAGGTGGGACTGTCCTCATGAACTTGAGGAAGATGGAGCCTGGAGAGGTGAAGATTCTCTCCTGAAGTCCTGAGCTGGGTCTCAAACCCAAGTCTCCTGACCCCAGAGCCCAGGGCTGCCAACGGGCCTTAAATGCGACCCAGGGTGGGTGAAATACCACTTGGTAGCCAGGACATGGTAGGTGCGGGTTAAGTGGGCAGGTGGCCAGAGACCCTTTGTGTGGCCCTGTGCGGGCCGGAGGGGTGCTCTGGGGCCAGCTCCCTCAGGCCTTCTGTTTAGACCCATTGGTTAACAGACGAGGGGCCCCGTGGGGCAAGGCCGTGGCTGCAGCCAGCCTGGAGGCTCTGTCTGCGGGAGAGGCACGGTGTTTTGAGCCCAACAAAAGGCCTGTAACCAAAGCTTCGGCTGGGCAACTTGAAGCAGCTGGGCCGGTTTGGGGGCAGGGCCAGGCCCGGTGTGGGATCTTGGTGCCTCTGCCCTTCCTTCATTTGGGTATTCCGTCTCCTGGGTGATGGTGGCCCCATGAGGGTGGTAGAAAAACCTGTGTGCATGCCCACATTCCACAGGTTATAGACCCTTCGGTGACCTCAGCCCCCCATCTCATCTCATATCCCAGCTCCCTTGGGCTGTTGGCCAGGCAGTGGCCCTCACTTTCCTTCTATAGCCAAGAATACCGAGGCTCAGAGAGGCCTCAGGTACTCAGCCAGAGTGTCCTCCCTAGTTGATAGAGTGGGGGGTCCTGGCAGGGCTTCTGGGAAGGGAGGGAGCAGTGAGGCTGGGCCTTGAGAGGTGAGAATCTTCTCACCTGACCCTCAGTAGGGCAGGGGCCCATTCCAGGTCTGTTCTCTGTAGAACATGCTACCTCAAGAGGCCTGCAGAGGAAGCAAAGAGGCCTCCATGCAAGCAAGGAACTTGACTCTGAGCTTCCTGGCAGCCAAGGCAAAAAGGGGAATTTGTAGTGTTATGATAAGAAGAATACACAGGGTCATCTGCTGTGAGAACTAAAGTCAGGGAGGTACACTAGGGAGGGTGAGTGAACAAGCTGTGAAACAATTTTCTTGAGAACCAGTATTTTGGGAGAACTTTTGGTTGTTGACCCCACTATATGAACCACTAGTGTGGACTTCCTTCTTCACTTTTTATTTTGAAATAATTTCAGACTTACAGTAAAGTTGAAAGGATGTATAAAGAGCCCTTATATACTCTTCATCAAGATACACCAGATATTAACATTTGCTATATTTACCTTATTGTGTGTGTGTGTATTTTAAACTATTTGAGAGTAAAAAAAAGACAGATATGATGGTTCTTTGCCCCTAAATACTTCAGCATCTATCTCCTAAGAACAAGGACATTCTTTTGCATAATCACAGGACGATGATCAAATCAGGACTGTAACACTGATACGGTGCTATTGTCTAATCTATGGGCCTTCACGCATATGCCACCTATTGTCTCAGGATTGTCTTTTACAACTGTTTTTTTTCCCCCTGGCCCAGAATCAAATTCAGAACCACACATTGTATTCAGTTGTTCTGTCCCTTTGGCCTCTGTACAGTAAGTCCCCTACAAGTTGCAAACTTTCAAAGGTGCGAACGTGTGTGAGTGAAAGACACCAACGTCAGGCGTGAGTGAAATGGCAGCTTGCCCTCCGTCTCCTATGGCTGACGATCCTTCAGCTCTACCGTCTCCCACCTCCTCTCCCTCCTCCAGTCAGTAACTCTTCTTGCCTGTTCACTCGATGCCAGCCCCTATATGCTAGCTGTTGTACTGTACTACTGAACTTTTCAAGGTACTGTACTGCAAGATTTAAAATGTTTTCTTTATTTTTTTGTGTGTTTTTTTTTGTGTATTATTTGTGTGAAAAGTATTATAAACCTATTACAGTACAGTACTGTATAGCTGATTGTGTTAGTTGGGTCCAACTTTGTTGGACTTAACAAACAAATTGGACTTACGAACGTGCTCTCAGATCAGAACTCGTTCATATGTAGGGGACTTACTGTATTCGTTTCCTACGGCTGCATGTAAATTACCACAAACTAGGTAGCATAAAACAATGGAAATCCATTCTTGCATAGTCTGGAGGCCAGAAGTGTGAAATCAAGGTTTTGGCAGGGTGTGCTCTCTGGAGGCCTAGGGGAGGGGCCTGCCTCCTCATCCTGCTTCTGGTGGCTTCCAGCAGTCCTTGGCCTCCTTGGCGTGTCACCACATCACTCCAGTCTCTGTCTTCACACAACCTTCTCCTCTGAGTCTTCTCCTCTGTCTTAGAAGGACACTTGTCGTGGGATCTGGGGCCCACCAGGGGGATCCAAGAAGATCTCATCTCAAGATCCTTAGTTTAATTACACGTGCAAAAACCCTTTTCCATCCCCAGGATCTGGGTGGACATGAGTTTTAGGGGAGCACCCTCCGACCCACCAGAGCCTCCTTTAATCTGGACCCATTCCTCGGCCTTCGTTTCTCTTTTTTTTTTTTTTTTTTTTGCGGTACGCAGGCCTCTCACTGTTGTGGCCTCTCCCGTTGCGGAGCACAGGCTCCGGACGCGCAGGCTCAGCGGCCATGGCGCACGGGCTTAGTTGCTCCGCGGCATGTGGGATCTTCCCGGACCGGGGCACGAACCCGCATCTCCTGCATTGGCAGACGGACTCTCAACCACTGCGCCAGCAGGGAAGCCCTGGCTTTGACGTTTTTGAAGAGTGGTGCCAGTTCTCGCGGCGAAAGGCCCTCGGTGTTTCCTTGTGTCAGAGGCAGGCTGTGTGCTCCTGAAGGAAGGCACAGCGCGGTGCTGGGCCCTTCTTGCTTCGTGTCAGGAGGTGCACGGTGTCAGCTGGCCCCTTTCCTGTGCTGCTCCCTGGTTAGGGTGGGGTCTGCCAGGTTCTCCACTGTAGGGTTGGTCTGAGCGGTCTTGAGGCTGCTGTTGTTCTCTTCCTGAGTCTCACTTGTGGTCCAGATAGTGGAGGCTGCCCAGGACTCGACTTCCGGATGGCCAAGGGTAGCTGCTGCACACAGATACCCAGTGAGGTCAAGTGCCTGCTGGGGGACGGCCTGGGTTAGCCGATCTCCATCTTCACAGCCAGAGAGTGTAGCTTATGACTCCCATTTCACAGATGGAGAAACAGGGCAGAGAGGCTAAGTGCTTTTCCCAGGGACAAAAATAGCTAGAAAGAGCAGCAGGCTGGTTGACTTTCCTTGCAAGGGTGTCCTCTCCAGGTAAACCTAAGCAGTTTTATTTGGCCATGGGATGTGGGCTTTCTCTGTTTTTAAAAAATCCAAACCGCCTCTAGGGTCTTTGTGAGGCTGCGATATGGGGGGCAGGGGGCGGGCAAGGAAGAGGTTCTCAGAGCCACGCAAGAGGGTGAGTGATGATGAGGGTGAGGCCTGATGTTTAAGAGTGTGATTGGGGAGGCAGGTGGACTCAGGTTTGAGTTGCAGCTCCCCACCTGCCTGCTGTGTGACTGTGGGTGAGTTGCTTCACCTCTCTGAGCTGTTTCCTCATCTGTAAAGTGGTGGTGATGACAGTGCCTACCCCATAGGGTTGTCATGAGGTTAACCCCTGTGCAGGGCTCTGCATGATGCTAGGAGTAGACTCTCAGAGCTTCAGGGGACCTTGCAGATCACCTGGTCCAGTTCAGTTCAGAGAGGGGAAGGGACTTGTGCAGAGTCACACAGCCAGCAAGGAGCAGAGCTTCCTAGTGTCTAGCTCAGTGCCTCGGCTGCCCCCGCATCTGAAGGCAGAACCCCAGGGCTCAGGGGTTTGTCTGTTTGTCTAAATAGAACTAGCACTTGACATCACTTAATAGGGCCAGGGAAATTGACTAAAGGGAGGGAGGGAGGGAGGGAGCACAGATACACAGTGCTCAAGATTAAGCACAGGTACTTGGGAACTTTATGCTGAGCTTCCTGGCAGCCAAAGTGAAAAGGGCTACATGCTCAGTTATGTAGCTTTCTTTGTCCCCATTCCTCAGGGAAAATGGAGCTTTCCCAACGACTCAGTAACACAGTGATAGGTTTCATGAGTCTGATGTTTGTAACTTCTCCTAGCTGGCACCAAAATGGAGCTGGGGTTCCCTGAATGAACATGATGGGGAGAGGGCGTTTCTGGTAGGGGAGAGGCCCGGAGGTGTGTTTGGAGGAAGGGCAGGGGGCAGGCTGACCTCGTGGGTCTGTCCTGTCGTTTCAGTTGGGCCACGTGGTCCTCTCCCCAGTCTGGTTCCTGTATAGCCTGTTCATGAAGCTATTCCAGCGCTCCACCCCAGCCATCACCCTCGAGAACCCGGACATCAAGTACCCGCTGCGGCTGATTGACAAGGAGGTCAGTGTGGGGCCTGAGGGGGTCGTGGGGCATGGGCACCTCTCTGTCCTTGTCAGCATCACAGCATTTCACAGGCACCTACTATGTGCTCGGGGCATGGCCCCTTGTGAAGTAGGTCCCATTATCTGCCCATTTTACAGATGGGGAAAGCAAGGTGGTCCCTTTCTAAGGCTACCAGTAAGCGACAGAGGGCTTTGAACTCAGATCTTTGCCCACAGAGCTGGTTCTTTGAACCACACTCACTATTCCCCAGAAGGTCAGAGTGGGAGGGACCCTGTAAGGACTCTTGGGTCCAAGTAACCATTTAATGGCTGTGAAAACAGAGGACAAGAGAGGAGAAACTCAGGTCACACTGTGAGTTAGGGGCAGGACCAGGACTTAGGCCTAGGCCTCGCGGCTCCCATCCCAGTGCCCCTTCCTTAAAGATAAGGTCTTCTCCCCTCCTCCTTCCCCGCCCGCAGGGTCACCCACTCAGGGCCCCTAGAGTCTTTTGCATCTGTCGGATTCCCTGCGGGCGGGCGGGGCGGCTCCATCTGCTCCTCCCACAGGCTTGCTCCTGCCCTCCCCACTTGATGCTTTTCCTTTTCAGACCTCTGATCGTGATTTAAAACCATCCTCTCCCTCCTTTGCCCAGCCGCCCACCCTGTAAGGCTGTTTCCCTCCTTACTCTCTCTCATCAGAGCCCCTCCCATGTGCTATTTCTGGCCACCACAGCTGCCTCAGGAGGGGTGTGACAGGGAAAACTGAGTCATGGGGCAGAGAAAGTCAGTCACTTGCCGGAAGCCTGAGTCCTGGGCTCTAGTCTGCACCCGGGCTCCCCATGAGAGCTGGGGCTCCTGTGACTGTACTTGTAACAGGATTTCATAGAAGTTGAAAACCAGAGAGAGGCAAAAAGAAAAGAAAAAGAAAAAAAAATTACTGCTTCCCAGATGAGACCACACTTATCCTCTCAATATATCTTATACACAATTTTTTCTTACTAAAATGAAATAACAATGTTTTAAAAGCTTTTCCTTTTATAAAGTTCTTTTTGTCTGTTGTTGTTTTTTAATTCCCAAAGTAATGTATGATTTATATGTGCTCGCTATAAAAATTTTATTTTTATAAAATAAAAGCACATGTTTATATGTGCTCTGTTCATGAGGTGTGAACGTTCCCCTCCTCCATAACCCCTTTGCAGAGGGTCCCCTTCACGGGTCACCGTGAGCCGTTCTGGTAGTACATTCCTGTGTACATGATGTGTGGAGGTTCAGGTGTGTGTATACTTAGTTTCTCTTTTTTAATAACTTGAGTTTTTACCCAGCTGTACAATATGGACGCCTTTACATGTCTAACCCAAAGCTGATTCATTATTTTTTTTTTTTTTTTTGCGGTACGCGGGCCTCTCACTGTTGTGGCCTCTCCCGTTGCGGAGCACAGGCTCTGGACGTGCAGGCTCAGCGGCCATGGCTCACGGGCCCAGCTGCTCCACGGCATGTGGGATCCTCCCGGACCGGAGCACGAACCCACATCCCCTGCATCGGCAGGTGGACTCTCAACCACTGAGCCGCCAGGGAAGCCCTGATTCATTATTTTTGATAACTATCTGGTATTTTGTCACAGGATGTCACACGGTGGACCCTCCAGGCCCCTTGGATTGGTCAGGAGGCACACGTGCTAGCAGTTCCCCTCCCCCATTGTAGCCTAGTGGTGGGCCAGCAGGTGGGCCTGCTCTTCGTTATTTTGCCGTGGCCCAGGGAGGGGTCCCGGCTGTCGGCCCTTCCCCTCTCTGAACGGGACTGGACCAGGCGATCAGCAAGGTTGCCCACAGCTCTGTGAGTCTACTGCTCGGGCCATCACGGCCAGCACCGTGCCGAGCCCTCACACACGTTAGCCTCATGACTTTTGCTGTGCTGGGCTAGTAATCATCAGTGTCTTTCTCTCATTTCTCTTCTTCCTCCAAAAACATCTGGCACGTGGGTTTCTGACCTTGAGCCCCAGGACCAGTTGATAGTCCTGGGATCCACTTGCGGGAGGCCCTGAGGCTCCGTTTGCAGCTTCAGGCCCGGACTGTGGGGCAGAGAGGCCCACTGGCCGCCAACAAGCACTGCGTCCTAAGTGGTGGCTGGGCACCGTCTCTCCTGAGATCCAGGCCACCTGCCTTGGCTCACACGCTTCAGTGATGCTTAGAGTGACGCTCTGTCCCTTTGGAGAGGCCTGGCGTCTCCCCTCCGGGTGGTAACACTCTCCATCACTGGACCTTGCCTCGTGTGGGCGTCAACATGTGCTGGACAGCTAGCTGCCTGCCTTCCAGACGGCCCCTCGACACCCACCATCCTGCTGCACCTGGTGCAGGGGAGACCTCACAGGGGCCTTCCGGAGCCCAGGTCGGAGTCCGGGCACTGGGTTCGGTTCCCAGCTCTGACACAGCTCACTGTGGGATGCTCGCCTCCCTGGCCCCAGTCAGGACTGGGCTCCTTCCTCAGCCCAGCCTCACTCTTAAGCAGCCTCTTGCCCACCCTGGAGGGGGAATGGCCTTCACCCATTGACCACACCCTGGGTGCACACCCTGTCTTGGCCATGGCCAGCCCCAGTGACCTCCTGGGCAGCAAGGCTGCCATGCCTCCTGCCCTCTGCAGCCCAGCCACGGTCATGCTGTCCCACTTCTCGGGGCGGGGGGCGGCTGTTAGTGTAGTGGCTTCTAGAGCCCCTCTCTTGAGTCCCAGGCCTGGGCACATGGGGCCTTGTCTCAGCTCTGCCCCACTGCTGGCCCAGTCCCTGAGCTGTTTCTGCCACCCCAGGACACTTCTCAAGCTGTGGTGGAGGTGGATCCTTTCCTCCTGTCCCTGGAATTTTCTGGGCTGGCTGGCAGCCTCCCTTTGGGATCTTTTTTTTTTTAAAGCACAGGCTCTAGGCGCGCAGGCTTCAGTAGTTGTGGCACGAGGGCTCAGTAGTTGTGGCTCATGGGCTCTAGAGCGCAGGCTCAGTAGCTGTGGCGCACAGGCTTAGTTGCTCCACAGCATGTGGGATCTTCCCGGACCAGGGCTCGAACCTGTGTCCCCTGCATTGGCAGGCGGATTCTTAACCACTGCGCCACCAGGGAAGTCCCTCCCTTTGGGATCTTGAGCTCACTCCCTGCTCCGACCACCTTGCCCTGTGGCCCTGGGTGGGTCAGTGCCCTTCTCTGGGCCAGTGAGAGCAGAGGCACACCCAGTGTGCACCTGACCTCTGTGCCCTTGCACACGCGTGTGCAGGTGCTGGGGAGGGGTGGGCACTCTGAGTCTGGGGGCCCCTCTGCCCTGGGTGCCATGCAGCAGCTCACGCTTCGTTGCAGGTCATCAGCCATGATACCCGCCGGTTCCGCTTTGCTCTGCCGTCACCCCAGCACATCCTGGGCCTCCCCGTCGGTGAGTGCGGCCCCAACCCAGCACACGTGGAGCCGGTGCTGGGACAGAGAGGTGGGGGCTTTGCATTTCAGTTAGTGCAGGGAAGGCTTCAGGGAGGAGGTGACAGCCACCCTGGGCCTTCAAGGGTGAGTGTCAGGATAAGAGGCCAGTTGCTTCAGTGTCCCCGGCAGTGGCACGAGCACGAGCAAAGGCAAAGAGATGGGACGTGATGGGAGTCCCTGGGGGTGGCGAAGGGAGCAGTGGGAGCCGAGGTCAGGCTAGGCTTTGAATGCTGGACGGGGTGCAGCGAAGTGGGCTGACAAGACCCAGGGGGCCCTGCAGGGGTAGTCAGCCCACACTCACCCCTGCTGTCCTGCAGGCCAGCACATCTACCTCTCGGCTCGAATCGATGGGAACCTAGTCATTCGGCCCTACACGCCCGTCTCCAGCGATGACGACAAGGGCTTCGTGGACCTGGTCATCAAGGTGAGGTCTTGGGGCCACAGCTGCTTGGCGCGGGGGTGACCACCTCGCAGCCAAGGCCCCACAGTCTGATCTCTGAAGGCCCTGTGCTCGCTGTGCCTGGTTCCCGAGGGAACAGCAGATCATAGTTCTTAGCACAAGCCAAGCTTTGGGGTCTCGGCAGAGGGCAGGGGTCGGGCTCAGGCTGAGCATCTGCAGAAGAGGAACCAGGCAGGCCCACCAGCCCGTGGAGGGCTCACCTTCCTGCTCTCGGACTGGCGAAGCCCAGTGAGCTGGGCACCTGCCCTTCCCCTGGGAAGCATCCCACGGGCCCGCTGGGGGTGCAGTATGAGGAGCTCATGGGACCGTGTCCGGGAGCCGGGGTGAGGGGCTTTCTGGGATCCATCACCGGTCGGGGGCTGGGTGTGCGCTGTGGGAAGATGTAGCGATTAGAGGCAACAGACCAGAGAGACGTAGAACAACCAGCAAGGATCTTAAAAAACAAGATGCTGAACAGAAGGAGAAATGACAACTAGAGCCCGGTACATGTTTATGGAAATTAGAAACACAAACTTTCCAGCAGTGATCCGTGTTCTCTGATTACACACCCACCCAAAAGTGTGAACCAGCCCAGGCCGGTGGGCTGGATGTTAGAGACCCTCCCTAGTCAAGGCCCAAACCTCCATGGCCGCCCTGGCTCAGCACCCCCGGGGATCAGGCTTGCTCTCTCAACTCCACTGTGCAGGCCCCAGGGCCCCCTCACTGGACCCTTGGGTGGGGGGACAGGAGCAGAGACCCCCGCTGGGCCTCAGCTTCAGCCCTGGGTCTTACAGGGTCCTGGGCTGGGCGCTGTGTCTGTGAGGGCAGGAAGGGAGCTGGGCCTGTCAGTCCTGGCTCTGGCCTGGATCTCCTCTTCGCTTGGTGTCATTTAGACCCTGTGCTGGGTGCCCAGGCCCACCGGCCTCGGTATCTTGTCTTTGGCTGGAGAATGGACACTGAACAGGTGGTCACACAGAGGTCAGTGTTTGTTCAGGGGACAAGCACAAGAGACTGAGCACCTAGAATGGGCACCAGAGCTGGGGCGGGGGTGGGGTGATGAGAGCTGCCCCCCTGAGCAGGCAACAGTGAGGCAAGGTCTGGCGGCTGAGGAGGCGGCAGCCAGGTGGAGACGGAGGAAAAGGACCTTCCAGGTGCAAAGGCCCTGAGGTCAGGAGGAGGCTTGAGGACTTGAGGGACCGAAAAGGGAGAGGTCAGCAGGGCCAGGCAGATCCTTGGAGGCCCTGGTAGTCTGGGGCTTTGTCCGGAAGGAAAGGGAAGGTGGTGAGAGTTCAAGCATCTGTTCTTGCTGAAGTCTCTCGAGCCAGATGTGGAGGAGGTGTTGAGGGGATTCAAGTAGAGATGGAATACTCACCAGGACCAGGCCCTTCCTGGCTTGGAGACCTCACTGGCCCCCTTGGCCCTGGCTAAAGGTCAGGCCCCCAGCCTGGCATGCAGTGGGCTCTGCCCACTCTCCCTCCACTCTCCCTGCCCCGCACCCCAGACACACAGACACATCCCCTGTGCTGGAGCCGCAAGCTCTTCTCCCCACCCCACCCCCGAGGCCCCAAGCCCTATTAGACGCCCTGGCCTTTGCCCATGCTGTCCCTCCCCCACTGCCTCTCCCCCTTCTCTGCTCATCACTCCTGCTTGCCCTTCAAAGCCCAGCAGAAATGCCCCGTGGTGCAGCCATCCCAGCCCTGGAGCTCCTCCCCTGTCTGCCCATCTCTCTGTACGAACGTTGTAGCACATCCCTTTTTCTAGAGCTGAAATCCCAAAAGGCACAGGGAAGGAAATTGTTCCAAGAGTGATGTTTTTATGGCAGCACGAAGTGGAAAGAATTGAACATCCACCAGGAGGGCCGGCTTCCCAGAGCCTTTACTGAGCTGACAGCCATGGGGATATCCTGCCGGGGGAGGGGGCGGGGGGTGGTCACAGAGATGCTTCCTGGCAGAACATTATGCAGCAGGCCCTCGGGTCGCTGCCTTGGACACCAGGCTGATGCTTTGCCCTCCAAGGGGATGTTATGGGGAGGGCAGACCACTGCGGGGAACGGGACACAGACGGGTAAGTTTTGATGGGTGGAAGGGGCATCGTGTGAGAAGGCCACACACGGCCACAGAAGACCCCAGAAGAGCATCTTCCCACTGTGGCCCAGAGCTCACCCCGGCAGCCCTGGGAACGGGGAGCTGAGGACTGTGGGTGTCTTGCAGGTTTACTTCAAAGACACCCACCCCAAGTTTCCCGCTGGAGGGAAGATGTCCCAGTACCTGGAAAGCATGAAGATTGGAGACACCATTGAGTTCCGAGGCCCAAATGGGCTGCTGGTCTACCAGGGCAAAGGTGATCCGGGTTAGACTCCCCGAGGACCCAGTGGGGGTGGTGGATGCTGGGTGCAGGTCCCGACTCTGCTGCTGTCTGGATGGGTGACTCTCGCAGGGCAAGCCATCTCCTCTCTGGGGCCTCCGTTTCCCTGGCTGTTAGGAATCAAGGTGGCCGGCACAGGGGTTGCAGACCAGCTGCCTCTGGGGGCCAGATGCGGCCCACAGACCCGCTTTGCTTGGCTGAGAACAAACAAGGGGTACGGCTGAGCTGGGCCGCCCCTGATTCTCCAGCCTCCCTGCTCCCCAGCCATGCACAGTGAGGAACTCGTCCTCGAGCTCCTCTTTGCATTTGAGCTGGTCCCGGTGCTGCCTTCCCATCCCCCTCACCCTGACTGGCTGGGGGCTGTGGTGGCCGCCGCGCCCGAACCCCTGAGGCGGGGGCAGCTTCTCCAGCCCTTCCGACCCCCAGGCACAGCATGTCTGAGAACTGGGCCTCACCCCTTCTCCTCTCCCCAGGAACGTTTGCCATCCGTCCGGACAAGAAATCCAGCCCTGTCATCACAACGGTGAAGTCTGTGGGCATGATTGCAGGAGGAACGGGTATGTGGACCCGGAGCCCCTCACTGAGTCCCTAGCGGGCGGATGTCATGGTTCGGGGCCAGGGTGTGGGATGTGGCACAGATTACAAGTGACTGGGAGCTTCCCAAGGTCCCAGTTGTCCTGGCAGCTCTGGGCATCTGCCTGGCACTGGGCCTGCGCGTATGCAGCAGGCGCTCACGCGGTGTGTGGGGGGTGGCTGTGTTGCAGGAATCACCCCAATGCTGCAGGTGATCCGTGCGATCATGAAGGACCCGGATGATCCGACCGTGTGCCATCTGCTCTTTGCCAACCAGGTCAGTGGGTGGACCTGAGGTCTGCAAACCCGACTCCTGCTGAGAGGGGGCGAGGCCCAGCAGGCACTGCTCAGGGGTCTGCACAGCCTTGCGGAGATGCTCAGGGAGGCTGAAATGTGAGGGGTGCTCTGAACGTTCTGTGCACAGCAGCCCTCACAGGGGCTGGTGGGGTCAGGCTTTTCAGTGCGGAGCTCAGAGCGGCTCACCCGAGTGGGGCTGCTTTGGTGGAGGGGTGAGGCCCCTGGAGCACCCACAGCTCCTCTGGCTGCTTCCTTGGCACCTCAGGGTTCCCTTCACCGCACACAGAGTTTGGAACCCACCAGTGAAGTGGGAGGAGCCCGAAGGGCCGTTTTCACAGATGACGTGCCAAGGTCCCACCCGCGCGAGGTCCCTGAGCTGGGGGAGTTGGGACAGGGTTTGGACCTGGGCTCCCCGGCTCCTGAATGCATGTCCTCCTCCCCACACCCGCCGCCTGCCCGCCCCGGCCTGCTGTGCGGCCTTGGACAAGCCACTCTCTCTTTCTGGGCTTTGCTCCCTCGCTGTGGAATGAGATGATGAAGCAAGGTCATCACAAGGGTCTTTCTAGGTTCAGTGTTTCATGACTGAATACGTGGATCTTACAGTGATGCCCCTTTTGGGGGAAGCTAAGACGAGGCACCCCCTGCCTGTGTGGGGGCCGTCCCCAGGCCCCCTGCGCCTCTCAGATGTGGTTCAGGTCAGTTTGCCCCTGGGTCCATCTGGCCCAGGCTCCACTCCGTGTCATCTGTGAAGACATCGAGCCTGGAGGCGGGGGGGCCGGACTGAGGTCCCACACAGCTGCAGAAAACTGCTCTGAGGCCAACTGAGGTGGCCTTGACTAGGGGTGGGTGGAAGCAGCCAGAAATTCCAAGCTGGCTGGTGGGGTTGAGAGGGTGGGCAGCGTTCAGCTTGGTAGTGCTGGGGCAGTCTCTGTGGAGGCCATCAGCCCTCTGTCGCCTGGACGGGCATCTTTGTGCCCGTTAGCAGGGGCGGTGGATTCTGTATCTCTCTCTGCACTTTAGTCAGTGCAGTGTCACAAGTCCTGTAGCCTCTGGAAGCCGTGAGGGAGGAGAGTGAAGCATGCAACTAAGTATCATATGAAAATCGTTCTGACCTCAAGGTCCCTCTGAAGGGTCTCGGGGACCCCAGGGGTCTGCAGGCCACACTGTGGGAACTGCTGCTTTGCTCCAGTTGAGTCGTTGCCCCTCCCTCCCCCGTCCTCAGTGACCTCCGTGCTTGGCTTGGACGGGGGCCGCAGCCCCTCCATTTGCCCATCCGTAATGTAGGATAACGGGGGACCCACCTCTCGGGACGGTTGTGAGGGTTGAGATGGCCTTGGATAGGAGCGTTTAACGTTGCAGACGTGTGCATTCTTCCTGGAGTGACCTAGTGATGGGAGTGGAGGCTGGTGGGGAGGCAGGTTGAGGACGGCATCCTGAGTCCAGGGGAGGCCGGGGCTCTGCCCCCAGCCTAAGGGAAGCACGACTTTTCAGAAGGGCATTAGGGAGTGTTAATAAACAGCGGGGCGACCTGGTTCTTGGACAGGGGGACAGATATTCCGAAGGTGTCAGTTCTTCATCAAGTAATACTCGAAGTCCCAGTGGGGATATTTTCTCCCCTTTAATATGACAAAATGATGCAGTATGGCCTGGAAGACAAAGTACACATGCACAGCCAAGAAAGTTTTGAAAAAGAAGAGTGACAAGGCAGAACTTAGCGCACTGGATGTTAGAACATGCTGGAAAGTGTCGGTGAGAAAAATGGCATGGTTCTGGAGCCACACGTGAGACCTGGGCTTACTGGACTTAACTGCACGTCTGGATGGCACAACAGGAAATCTAGACTGTGCTGGGACATGTGGCTAGTTACACTTAAATTAGTTAAGATTGAACAAAGTTAAAAACTCGCTCTCCCAGTCTCACTAGCCACATTTCATTGGTTTCATAGCCACATGTGGCCAGTGGTTACCCTGTTGGATAACACAGATCTATTGTAGAACGTTCCCATCATTGTAGAAAACTCCGTTGAACAGCCCTGGCCTAGAAACAGACCCAAGTGTAGGAGAGACTTTGTATCTGATGCAGGTGACATACCAAACGTGCAAAGAGAAAGGAAAAGGAGTGTTGAGTTAGTTGCTATGCACTTGGAAAAAACGAAGTAGATCCCTACCTTACCTTGTACAAAAATGAAGTTTAGGTTAAAGATACACATGTAAAAAATTGAAGCTTTAAAAGTAGAAGGTGAGGGCTTCCCTGGTGGCGCAGTGGTTGAGAGTCCGCCTGCCGATGCAGGGGACGCGGGTTCGTGCCCCGGTCCGGGAAGATCCCACATGCCGCGGAGCCTGCGCGTCTGGAGCCTGTGCTCCGCATACGGGAGAGGCCAAAACAGCGAGAGGCCCGCGTACCACAAAAAAAAAAAAAAAAGTAGAAGGTGAGGGCTTCCCTGGTGGCGCAGTGTTTGAGAATCCGCCTGCCAATGCAGGGGACACGGGTTCGAGCCCTGGTCTGGGAGGATCCCACATGCCGCGGAGCAACTAGGCCCGTCAGCCACAACTACTGAGCCTGCGCGTCTGGAGCTTGTGCTCTGCAACGAGAGAGGCCGCGATAATGAGAGGCCCGCACACCGCGATGAAGAGTGGCCCCCGCTTGCCACAACTGGAGAAAGCCCTCGCAGAGAAACGAAGACCCAACACAGCCATAAATAAATTAATTAATTAAAAAATAAATAAAGTATGAGTTCAACATATGCCCTTTTCTTAGAAAAAAAAAAAAGTAGAAGGTGAGCATTTTTACAGGAAGTATTGATGAATGAGTGAACAAGGATGGTCAGTCTAAGCAAGACACCAGGGAGAGCCCGTCAAGGAGAAGATTGATGGAACCATCTGCTTAAAAATGAAAAGCTCCCCTGGGGAAAAACACAAACTATAAATAAGGTAGAAAGATAAGTAACTGGGGATGAGACATAATGCATCACCAATGAAAATTAATATCCTTCATATAAAAAGTTTTTACAAACTAATAAGATATTACTAGACCAGTGACAAACTTATTAATAATAAAAAATAAAACATAAGCTTTACTTTCCATTAACCTGATTGCCAAAGCTTAAAGGATCATTACCCAGTGCTGGTAGAGGCGTAGGGAGGTGGACACTCCTGGGCACGCTGCTGGTGTGCGCCTTGGTGTAACCTACCCGGGGATTGTAAAGCAGCTGCTGTGTTGAACGCCCTAACCATGTGGAATTTTCTACCCTGAACTCCGCTCCCTCGAGTTTATCCTCAGGAACAGGGCAGTGAGGGCGGTCAGAGAGGCATTGTTCATAAAGAGGATGCTCAGAGACGCAAGAGGGAGGGGATATGGGAACATATGTATATGTACAGCTGATTCATTTTGTTATAAAGCAGAAACTAACACACCATTATAAAGCAATTAATACTCCAATAAAGATGTTAAAAAAAAAAAAAAAGGAAAAGAGGTCACTCAGAACAATCTCCACGCCTCTCCCGTGGTCTCCCTCACCCAGCCTGGGGCTCAGGAGAGGTTTGTGACCTTTTCTGATCAACAGGGCTCTTTGGCCCCCAGTTTCACAACAGTCTTATGAGATCAGTCACGCCACCCACTGGCCTGAGGAGCCCTGTCCGTCTGTGAGTGACCTGCAGACATACAGGGCAAAGTCTGTGGTTAGGAATGGAAAGAGGGGCTGTTTCAGGAGCAGATTGCTGATGCTCCCTGGGGGTCTGAGAAGGCTTCCTGGAGGAGGTGACAAGCTGAACTCTACAGGGCCACGTGGGGCTGGCTAAACGAAATCAGTGGGGACGGAAAGTGGGGAGCTGCAGGCCAAGCAGAGGGATTGGCGTGGGCAAGGCTGCGGAGGGCCAGGTGTGATCTGGGGAAGTAGTATCTGTATTTCCTAGACTGTGGACGTACAAGCTGAGACGCCAGAACATAGAAAGACTTGGACTTTCCCTGGAAGCTTTGCCAAGTGTGCGGCCCATGGGTGGGCAGGATGACGAGGGTCTCCAAAGGCAGTCCCTGTCGCTGTCCCTCCTGACCGCTGGGTCCTGTCCCCCTGCAGACTGAGAAGGACATCCTGCTGCGGCCCGAGCTGGAGGAACTGAGGAACGAACATTCTGCGCGCTTCAAGCTCTGGTACACAGTGGACAAAGCCCCTGAAGGTGAGAGCGTCCAGGCGGGTGGGCTGGGTGGAGGTGCCGGCCCATGCTCACCTGGCGGAGCCCTCTGCCGTTGTGGAGGCTTCTGCTTGCATGGTCTCCTTTGGTGCTCACTGTGGCCCTGTGAGAGGAAGGTGATGAGGAAAGAGGGATTAGAGAGGGAACACAGTGGGAAAACCCCAGAGCTAGGGCTTGAATTCACACCCGCCTCCTCCAGAGCCCCAGACCTTCCCCTGCCTGCCCTGCTCTCAGCTGGACAAACAAGGCCAGCGTTCTCCCCTTGGGCCGGGGCTCACTGTGGGGCAGGTCTCCAGGGCCAGTGCTGGGGTGAGGGTGAGTGTTTCCACGTTGCAGTGTATACCCTGTAAGGCACTTTACACCCATTTTCTCTCTAATCATCAGCCCTGGAGTGTGGGCTGGGCTGATGTACAGTTACCTTCATTCTACTTATCCAGGTGTTTAAGCTGTTTGCCAAGGTCACATAGGAGGCGGTGAATGAGGGCTGCCCCTAAAACCTGAAACAAGGTTGCCCTCTGGGAGCTAAACTGTACTCCATTCTCATGCCTTAGGTAGATGTGGTTACAAAAAATATCTTAACTTCTTCTCTGTTGTAAGAAAAGGAGCAGCTGAGGCTTCTTGGTAGATAACACCAGTGATGTTTGGCTTCAGGGTTAGGAGACTATAGGGAGTGGTGGGGACTGTGACGAATTGGAGAGCATCTGCCTGTGCAGAGGGGCAGCCCCCTCCCAGCTGCGGGCAGCCCTGCTGTGCAGGAGTACCGCCCTGGAGGCCAGCCTTTCCATTTTTCAGGGGAAGCTGGGGGCCTGCATTTTCATGGGAAATTTTTAAATATTAGAAACTGGACATTTTCAAAGCACCCACGTGGGCACCAGCTTGCTGCCACACTGCCCTTGCTTTGCCTCCTCCTCCTCACACAGCCACCCGGTCCCCTGGGACTCAACCACCACAGTGTGGGGAACAGGCCACCCTCTGCTTCCCCCAGAAATGAGCAGGCGGGCTCTGGGGGTACCCATCTCAACAGGGTCCATCCCTGAGAGAGGAGCCACCCTCCTGGGTTGACCAAATCGGATCCTGGGCCCCTGGTGGATCCATGGACCTGACAGTCTTGTTCCAGGGCTTCTGGCTGGACCAGCCGTCCTGGGCCCACCCGTGTCTCAGTGGGTCTCCTCCTGGTCGGACCCCTCACTCTGTGTGTTCCCGAAACCAGCCTGGCCCGAGCTGATGCTGATGTTCTAGCTGGGGAGGATGAACAGGAAACAGGTTTATTAGTAAATTATAAAGTACAGTAGCAGGTGATTAGTGAGACCCAGAAAAGACAAAGTGGAGTCATAGAGACTGGAGGTTGCACAGGAGGCACTGGTTCTGGGAGTCCGAGCTTCCAGTAAAGAAAGGATTTTTTTTTTTTTTTTTTTTTTTTGCGATACGCGGGCCTCTCACTGCTGTGGCCTCTCCCATCCAGCTCAGCAGCCATGGCTCACGGGCCCAGCCGCTCCGCGGCATGTGGGATCCTCCCGGACCGGGGCACGAACCCGTGTCCCCTGCATCACCCGGGAAGCCCAAGAAAGGAATATTTATCTTGTACCCACGTCTCATTCAAAAGAGGGAAATGAAAGCTGGTTTAGCTCCCTTCTGGTTGCAGGTTCTAGAGTGTGGTCAGGTAGGCTCATTGGCCACGATGGGAGTGTCCTTGCAGGGGTCTCTACTCCGGTTGCCTGCACACGGCCTGGCCACAGGAGGAGTGGACACTGCCCTCTGGTGGTGACACCTGGCAACGCCAAATCGACGTGCCTCCTGGGGACAGTTTTAAGAGTAACCAGTTACTGGCCAAGGAGAAATGCAGTTGGGTAGTCTCCTGGTATTCTACACTTACGTTTATTATTACCCTGACCACAGTTCGAGAGTAGTTCGGGTATTGCCGTAACATTAGGTATAAGCTGAAAAGGGTAGACGCTGAGGAGGAAAATGGTACCAGGCCAGCAGGCAGTTGTGGAGCTAAGCAAAAGAACAGGGGAGAGGGGCCAGCTGACTCTGTTTCCCCTACAAAGTCACCTTCAGTATACAAGTAAAGAAAAATACACTATCTAAAAACGTCCTTGTGAAATTGAGATGTGTCTTACATACCTGTACATTCATTACACTAGCAAATATGGTTTAGTCCCATGCAGGTTTTTTCAAAGTAATTTTAGATCTGTTAATAAAATGTTATCTACCTACCTATGTCCCGCCTTGTTCCAGAGGGATTTTAGGCACCTTACAAAGACTCATAGAGTGAGTCGGAGTGGTATAAATGGAAAGTGGGAGTGAAAGAAAAACAAGGGCAGGGCCGTAGAATGGAATTGGGAATGAGGTTTGTACAGAAGCATGGGCTGTGATGCACACTTGCTGTGGGTGGCCATGTATATCACTCTGAGCTTCCCAGCAGCCAAAGTGAAAAGGGAGATGGGGTCAGTTACTCAGCTCAGTGTCCATGAGGTAAAGAATACCCCGTTGCTCAGCACAGCAGACTCTTCCTCATCCCAAGACCAGCTGGGACTGGCTTGGCCCCTCGCAAGGGAACCCCGCCATGGAGTGTACATGATGTGATGCAGAGAGCATTGTCTGCCGTGATGGGGGAGTTACGGCCCTGAGCGCAGATGTGGAAGCCAAGGCGTAGATCGGAGCCAGAGTGGAGCCGGGCTGGGTGTCGCCTCCTCCGCCTCTCCTCGGGCCCCAGTCATCAGAGCCCCATTCTCCTGGCGGAGCCCTGCCAGCCTGCCGTCCCCGTGGGCCCACCGTGCTCCTGGAACTGGCTGGTTCCCCTCCCTGAGCAGCCCCTGCTGGCAGGTCAGTCCTGAGGGCCTGGGTGGGACGAGAGCCCTGCCAGCCTCGGGGCACCAGGTTCTTGCCACGGGCACCAGCAGTGACTTGTAGGAATAAAAGGTGGCTCTGGATCTCAGGTGAAACCTGGAGACACACTGCGCATGTACACGTGCGTGTGCGAGACAGGGAGGCCGGCAGGACCTAGAGGAGCTGTTGCTGCCACGAGGGTCCTGCATCTGGAGCTTCAGCCTGGGTCCTGGCCTTGCTGTTTTCAGGCTCACCGATTGCTTATTTGGGACGCATTCCGTTACTCATCATTTATTGCGTAACTACTGTGTATGGGGCTGTCTGGGCACTGGGACTACAGCTGTGGACCAGACACAGCTCCTCGTGGACCGACATGCAGTAGAGGAAAGAGTCAGACAGTGGGCACAGGGCCAGTAGGTAGCATGGAGGGTGGTGGGGCAGGAAATGTCACCCTGACCAGCCTGGCACTGGCTGGGGGACCTCTGGGACCTGGGGCTAACGTCCCAGCCCTGTCCATGCCTTTTTGTGTGACCTGGGACAACTCAACTCTGGGTCCTCTTGGCCTCAGTTCCCACATCTGTAAAACGGGATCAGTAACCCCTGCCCTGTCCGCCCACAGGGCGTTTCTGAGGGCCACATGAGAGGCCAGTGGAAATGAAATGCATTGCACGCTGTGAAGCGTGGTGGGGGAAAGTTGATGGGCTTGCCTTTGTGGCACAGGTGAGCCAGGCTTGGGGGCAGGGGATCGGGCTGAGGGTTTACTTGGCTCAGCCTCTTCATTCTTCAGTGTTTGTGGAAAGAAGGGAGGAATTCATGGCACAGGAACTTCGTCACGGAGGAGAGGGTGCTGGGCGGGTGGGCAGTTGGCAGTTGGTCACACAGCCATACTCGGGCTCACCTGGTCTCCCACCCCGCAGCCTGGGACTACAGCCAGGGCTTCGTGAACGAGGAGATGATCCGGGACCACCTTCCGCCCCCAGAGGAGGAGCCGCTGGTGCTGATGTGCGGACCCCCGCCCATGATCCAGTACGCCTGCCTGCCCAACCTGGACCGCGTGGGCCACCCCAAGGAGCGCTGCTTCGCCTTCTGATGGGCGGGCCCTGGCCAGTGGCTCCGCCCCACACTCACCGCGCCCTGTCGCCCTGTCCGTACCCACTCCTCCTGCTGTCGTTTGTTAACACCACTCTCCCCCACGTCTCCTGCTGCAGCCGGGTTCAGCCTGGCCTGCCCGTGCCTGGGAGGTCACCCCGCTGGGCTGGCCCCCGAGGGGCCCCTTTGGGAGCAGGGCTCTGTTACAGGTGGCTGCTGTCGGCCACCTTTAGGGCAGATTTCTGTCTGGGCCTCACTGGAGATGTCCCCCCCACACAAAACACACACACTACTGGGCCAAGGCTGCCAGCACCATGCTGCCCACCCTCCCCAGAGCATACCACACTCTGGAAATAAACATAAATATACGGGCAGCCCATAGCTGCAGGTGCCAGGCCCCTACCCACTGCCTGCTTCAGGGCCACAGCCAGGCCTCGGCACCTGACACTACGTGGTAGGTAACACCAACACGTCCTGTTGACGGGGCTGCTGGGGTGAGAGGCTGCCCTGACCCCAGGGCACAGCAGGCCCGGCCAGCAGGGAGTTGGGCTCCCCCTGGGGCTGGACTAGGAGGGGGCTGACCAAGGGCCCTTCCATCCGGCACACGGGCCCTCCGGGAGCCTTCGCATTTCCCTGAAACACCAGAACGTTCGGGCAGCTTTGGGAGTTCCAAGCAGTTGACCTCTGATCGACCAGCTTGGGGTCCCGGGCCGCCAGTCCTGATGGGAGAGCTGAGATGATGTGTTTATCCCTCTGTCCCAGACCCCCCTCCTGCTGCCCTCACCCCAGGTGGGGGAGATTTTGAGCAGAGCCTCTTGTCTGAGGGACATTCTCAGTGGCCTCGACGTTGCCTTTAGACCACAGCGTGTCATCCTCTTGCATATCGGCTTTTCAGAGTCATTTATGAGCACACATAACGTTGAAGTAAAACTTTGCTAATCTGAACACTTTTGTAGCTCCTGGAGGCTCTGTGACCTATGTCCTTGTGGGGGAGGGAGGGGGAGAGGAAGGGGCTGTGTAAGGCCTGGCATTTATTTCTGACGTTTGTGTTTATAGTAGAAAACTTGGGGACTTCCCTGGCAGTCCAGTGGTTAGGACTCCATGCTTCCGCTGCAGGGGGCCTGGGTTTGAGCCCTGGTCGGAGAACTAAGATCCCACAAGCTAATGTGGTGCAGCCTAAAAATATATATATATATATTGGGAGAGTTCAGAAGAGTATACACAGGGGAAAAAATGCCGGAAGCTAGAGGCCAGCACTTAGAACTTGGATGACACCACGACATCCACTGTGTGGCCTCTGCTTTCCCCTAATGTCAGATGTGCTTTCCCGCTGTGGTCAGAAACTCGCCGTAGGCCCACATGGATCATGATTTTCTTATGTAGCAAATCCCTGTTGTTGGACAGTTAGGCTGTTTCCAGTTTGCAGGTTTTGTAAATAACAGTGGCCATGTTCACCCTCCTTTTTTTTAAAAATTTATTTAAAATTTATTTTTATTTTTGGCTGCGTTGGGTCCTCGTTGCTGCTTGCGGGCTTTCTCTAGTTGTGGCGAGCGGGGGCTACGCTTCGTTGCGGTTCGTGGGCTTCTCATTGCGGTGGCTTCTCTTGTCGTGGAGCACAGACTCTAGGCACGCAGGCTTCAGTAGTTGTGGCACGCAGACTCAGTAGTTGTGGCTCGCGGGCTCCAGAGCGCAGGCTCAGTAGTCGTGGCACACGGGCTTAGTTGCTCCACGGCATGTGGGCTCTTCCCAAGCCAGGGCTCGAACCCGTGGCCCCTGCACTGGTAGGCGGATTCTTAGGCACTGCGCCAGTAGGGCAGTCCTTCACCCTCCTTTCTTATGACTTCTTTTAGGGTAGATTCCTGGGAATAGATGGAGTGTGGACAGTGGGGGTCCAACTTTTAACCCTCCCCTTACACCCAGCCTTATTCACATCATCTCAGCCGTGTTAAAAGGTGTCCCCAGTCCCAACTTTGGACAACCCCGTGTGTCCCCAGTGTTTTCCTTTTTACTCTGTCCTCTGGAGAGCCCTGAGAGAAGTAGAGAGAAGTCAGTAGCACCTATTTCCAACAGAGAGACTGAGGCTCAGGGCAGTGAATGGCTTTCAGGGTGGAGGTCAGGCCTGAGGCAAGGCAGGTGTCGCCCTGTCCTGGGGAAGCTACAGGTGAGGAAGGGAGTGTCTTCATTCATTCAGGCACTCTTCCAGGGCCAGGGCCAGGGCCAAGGCTGCTCCAGACACACCCTTCCCTGCTCCTGGGGTGTTCACAAGAAAGACACTAGACAAGTAACTGGTGATGGGAAATGCCAAGATGGAAGTTAAAGATGGGACAGTGTGGGGCTTCTCTGGTGGCACGCTGGTTAAGAATCCACCTGTCAATGCAGGGGACACGGGTTCAAGGCCTGGTCTGGGAAGATCCCACATGCCTCGGAGCAACTAAGCCTGTGTGCCACAACTACTGAGCCTGCGCTCTAGAGTCTGCAAGCCACAACTGCTGAGCCCACGTGCCTAGAGCCCATGCTCCACAAGAGAAGCCACCACAATGAGAAGCCCGCGCACTGCAATGAAGAATAGCCCCCGCTCACCGCAACTAGAGAAAGTCCCTGTGCAGCAACAAAGACCCATCGCAACCAAAAATAAAAATAAAATTAAAAAAACAAAAAAAGGCAGGACAGTGTGGGAATGAGGGCTGTTCTCAGAGTTGGGCAGCAGGAACTCCCTCTGAGGAGGTGACCTTTGTGCTGCGACGTGAAGGGAAGGAGCTGGCCCCACTGGGGTAGGTGTTCAAGGCGGAACAGCAAGCGTGAAGGCCTTGTGGCTAGAACAAGCTTGTGGAAGAAACTTCCAGAAACAGATCAAGGAAGGCAGGTGGCTGAGGGGACAGTGAGGATGAGACTGGAGAGGGAGGCAGGGCTAGAGGGGTACTCCAGCGGGAGTGACCAGCAAGTGCGGAGGCCCTGGGACACAGTGAGGGCCAGTGTGGCTGGAGTGGAGTGGGGAAGAGGAGAAGACGGGGGAGTTCACAGGAGGCCTCGGGGCTAGAGAGCCACTCTCCCCTTTCATCTCTCACCTTCCATTCTGTCTCTGGCCCTCACACATCCTGGAGCAGGGCTGGGACTCCTCAGTGGGCAGGGGAAGGACTCAGCCTGGGCCTCTCAGGCCCTGATGGCTCTTCTCTACACCTACCGTCTGCTGAGGACTCTGCTGAGCGCTTGACACACATTAGATCTCCTGGTGCCTGTCCCCATCTGGAGGATAAGAAAACGGGCCTGAGCGTTGAGACTTGCTGCACACTGCCTGAGCCCACAAGAGGCTGTCTGCTGAAGCTAGGAAGAAGGACGTAAATTGGACCTGGTCCCTACCCTCTTGTAAGTCTGTCTCCCCACCTGTAAAATGGGTGAGTGAATAAGCCAGTGATTCTCCACCCTCTCAGACGTGACACCATTTAAAAACAACATTTATAACAGCCGCTTTACGCTCCTGAAGTCACCGCTGATACCACCCACCTATACAGAATTTTTTAAAAAATCAACACAAAGGGGACTTCCCTGGTGGTCCAGCGGTTAAGAATCTACCTTCCAATGCAGGGGACGCAGGTTTGATCCCTGGTCAGGGAACTAAGAGCCCACATGCCGCGGGGTAACTAACCGTACGCACTGTAGAGCCTGCGTGCAACTACTGACCCCACGCTCTCTGGAGCCCGCGCTCCACAACTGGAGAGGAAGCCCTGAGCGCCACAACGAAGAGCCTACACAACACAACTACGACCCAACGCAGCCGAATAAATGAATATTAAAAACAAAAATGCAAAACCCAAACATACTATAAAAGCAAAAAAGGAAAGGACTTCATAAAATGATGCACATTTCAGCATGTAAATGCTGGTGGCCCCAAGGCCCGTGGACGGAAGCATCAGGAGTCTGCATGGACGCATGGTCCCCGCACTGGCGCAGCCTCTAATGCCGCCCGCCTTCCCCGCTCTGCCGACAGGGGTGCGGTTTTCCCAGGCGGGTCACAATTGTTGGTTAGTCTCCAAGTAAGGCAGGACCCAGTTCCTTTGGCTACAGCGCAAGTGCGTTGCTGGCAATCCCATATTTGTTTACACCAGGAAAAAAGTCCTGCGTGTTCATACAAGAAATGGAGCGAAACCCAGGATCAAAGAATCGTAACCGGCGCCTCCGCCCCGGGAATGTCCCGAGCGTTGGGAGACCCAGTGGGACGTCCCATCCCGTCCCCGCCTCCACGTGACCGGATCCCTGCCGTCCCGACACCCAAATAAGACCCCACGAAGTTCCGAAACGCTTCTGGAGGAGGGCAATCCGGCAGTCACAGAATTACATGACATCAATGACTCCACTATTGGGGTAGTTTAAGGAAATTATTTAAGCGCTATTTTTACACTTCGCTTTCTTCGCGTGGAGGTGCGAAAGGGCCTTAACTCCCGCGCTCCTCTGGCCCTTTCCTAATCCTGCGCACCTGCCTGCCCTTCGCTGTGCAGCCGGCCAAGGGTTGGTTCCTGGTTTCCGCGTTCTTTCCCGGCACCTCGCGGAGGGAGGAGTTAATGGTCCTGTTTCACGACTGAGAAAAGGAGGGCCAGCCAGCAGCCAATCACGGCTGCGAAGGCGGGGACCTGGATTTCCCTCCTCCAGTGCCCAATCTTCACCAGCTCGTCTCTCCACGGACCTTCTTTCTGATGCCAGGTTTTCATCTGCGGTGTGATGTTCTGTCGAGAACACAAAACTCCACTCACCCGTTGTACTTACAGCAGTGATTCATAGGGCACTTAATCTTTGTTCGGCGCTCGTCTAAAACGCGTTGCACGTTTAGTCTTTGTTTTATGTTTCTGTTTGTGGTGTTTCGGCCACACCGCGCTGCATGCGGGGGTTTTACTTCCGCGATCAGGGATCTAACCCCGGGCTCGCTGCAGCAGAACCGCGCAGTCCTCACCACTGGATCGCCAAGGAATTCCGTTTCCTGCTGTTGTTGTATTTTTCATTCACTGGTTCGACATACTGAACCTCCCACCGGGATCAGTGCTGGAGACTGAGATTACATAAATTAAAAAAAAAAATACAGATTCGGAACACTTCATTTGGCCCTCGCAGCGACGTAGTTCATGTGCCCCATTGTGCAGATCAGGAAGACAACGGTCAGGCTGGCAAAAACATTCGGTTGTAAACGTCCTACGGCCCAGAAGTGTGAGCCGTGGTACGTAAGCACTGCATTATAACCCACACAACGAGGCTCCCGTGTACTGCACGTTGTCTCCCCCTAACAATTAACTGGTAACACTCCCAGCCGACGCCGCTAGTAAGCTCCAAAGAACTGACTATATTATTTTAACCCAATATTAACCCTTTTACGGGTTAACAACCCCGGATAGGGGCGTGAGGTTTGACCACCACCGTTAATCGACAACGTAATTCCTTAGTTCGTTTTTAACTTTCCTCAATTGGGTTTATTTCTAAATTCTACCTTTTAAATGCAAGGGGTACGGGCAGATCGCAACACCCAGGCATCCCGCAAAGTAGGCGGGTCACCGTAGGGGCAACCTTTACCCGCTCAAAAATTCGTCTCACATTAGCAGTGAGGATTCGGGCGTCACCCCGAATCGTTATTTTCCTTACTCATAAGTTTAAGGCATAAACCTCTACTAACGCTTACTTCCTAGGTAATGAATCCCATTCTCATTAGCCCTACGGTGAGTGGCAAAGTTGACCGTCGAACCGAGAACCTCTTTCCTCTGAAGATTGTCTTACTCATTTAATTCTTTTCTGTTGCTTTTCATTTTATTTGCTCGTCTGGAGAAAGAGGGAACGGTAGGGCTACGACCCGCCGTATGCAGATAAGCAGCGGACGTCGCAAAGGCTCACGGGGAGAGCCCCGCCCCTTCCGGTTCTTGCTCGGTTTGATCTGTCGCGAGACTTCGTCAGCCGAACGCCGGAAGCCGCTAGTTGCTCCGTAGCGGCCGAAGGGGCGGGCTCCAGGGCTGAGGGACGATTAGCTGCTCGCGGCTCGCGCGGCGGTGCAAGATGGCGGACATCTCCCTGGACGAGCTCATCCGGAAGCGAGGGGCTGCGGCGAAGGGGCGGTGAGCGGCCTTTTCTCCTTTCGGGGTGTACGGCCCGAGTCTTAGCGGGGCTCGGGGCGGAGGAGGGAACGGTCTGGGCGCGACGCGGAGGGCCGTCTGCTCCCGCCCCCTGCCACAGCCGCGCTCCCCATTGGCCCGGCCGCCGCCGCCGCCGCGGGCCCGGCCGCCCGGCTGCCCACTGGCTGCAGGCGCCGTCGCTCCGGCGGGCCGGGGAGAGGCCGGTCGGACCGCTGACGGCGGAGGGGCCGGACTGCGGGGCTTGTGGGAGCGGCCCGAGGGGCGCCCCGCGGGGGGCGGAGCTGCGGTTGTGGAGGGGACGCGCTGTCCGCGGCCCAGAGGGTCTCTCCGGCAAAGCCCCTCGTCTGAGGAGCCGGACGCTGCCCCACGGTCTCAGCGCGGCCTCAGAGTTAGGACGACTGGAGTTGCGCGGGCAAGTGATTTGCTCAGACTCTGCCGGTCTGTTAGTGCCGAAGCCGAGATCCACACCCAGACCTTTAATTTCCAAATCTTGCGCCTGCTTGTTCTCTAACACTCGACTCCTTTTGTGCGGCATTTCAGGTTCTCTAAGCGCTTTGCTGCCCAGGCGGTCTTTGCTCTTTTCGCAGCCCTGCTGGCCCGCTCTTAATGTTTTCCCCATTTTCCAGATGAGGAGCTGGAGGCGGAGTGAGTTGCCCGAAGCCACGGAGAGCTGAGATCGGTGCCGAGTGCACTTTATGAGCTGGCTGAGTTGGCCTCAGGCTTGGGCAGAGAAACAGGTGGGACGGGGCTGGAGGCCGGCTGTTTCTCGATGGTTCGCAGAGAAGACTGTTCTGTATCTGGGTGAGGAGTCGCGGGGATGGTTCGCAGTTAGGTGCTCCGGACTTCCTCTGGACCTTCAAATGTTGTTAGTCATTTCCAGCCTTTGTGCGCTCCAGTTCACCTGTATGAAAGAGTGGGAACTTAGGCCAGTAGTTTTCCAGCACGCGTTAAATTAGTTCACATGTCCTGTAAACAGCCGGGCTGTAAAGGTAGGTGTAGTTTTCTCAGATAGTCATTCATTCAGCAGACGTGAATTTATTAACACTGCCTGCGTGCCTGTGGCTAGAAAACGGATTCTTCTACTCTCTGAAAGGTATCCCCCCACCCTCACCTCTGCACACATAGCCACTGCGCCCGCCACCACGGAATTCACCAGCCAGCACTTCACCTGGCTTCTGGTTCATGACAGGCACCCAGCATTAATTTACTCTACCATTACGTGTGAGTGGTTCTCTCCTAGGTCTTCCCTCTAGTAACTGGTGTGGAATTGGTGCTGGGTCCTTGGGCCACTTCTAAGCCCATCCAGGTTTCACAGGTTTGCTCGACAGTTGCCGAATGGGCCAGCTTCCCAGGACCTGCGCTTCCTGCAGTCACTTCCCTCAGTTCCTGACTGCAGGCCGTCTGTACTTTTTTTGGTGTTGATGTGTGCAGTCTTGTGTTGGGCATTGGGTGGGCATGCAGGGAAGGGAGGATATGTGGACCCCTGGGAAGAGCAGAGACTGTGCCGCCAGGCAGACCTGGTCGCTTGGCAAGGCCCATTGTTGGGTCTGTGCCTCCCTGGCCAGGTGACTTCTGAGCTGGGCAGTTTCCTCATTTGTAATAATGGTTCCTGGTAGGTGGTTGAGAGAATTAAATGAGAATGTAAGAATGTATATTTTAAAGTTTGTACCAGATAGTAAGGGTTTAGCAAATGACTTTAAAAGAGTAGAAGCCCAGGGCTTCCCTGGTGGCGCAGTGGTTGAGAGTCCGCCTGCCGATGCAGGGGACACGGGTTCGTGCCCCAGTCCGGGAAGGTCCCACATGCCGTGGAGCGGCTGGGCCCGTGAGCCATGGCTGCTGAGCCTGTGCGTCCGGAGCCTGTGCTCTGCAAAGGGAGAGGCCACAACAATGAGAGGCCCGCGTACTGCAAAAAAAAATAAATAAATAAAGAGTAGAAGCCCAAATCCCTTCCCCCAGGGGACATAATAGCTAAGCATTGGGGTCCTAGAGTCAGACTGCCAAGTTTCAATCCCTGCTTCTCCCACTTTCCATATGATCTTATGAAAATTACTTAACCACTTCATGCCTCTCTTCCCTTATCTATAAAACATGGATAATATTCACTTCATTAGGTGTTGTCAGGACTTAGTCAATCAATGTATCTAAAGTACATCAGAAAGCATCTGATGGGTACTGAGTGCCCAATAGATGTTAGTTATCATCATCGTTAAGGAAGGCTTTTAAGTACAGAAGTAACATCCAGTCTTCAGTGTGAGAATATTGCTTTGCTTTTATGTGAAGATTGGATTGGGGGAAGTGCAGGCCAAGAGACAGTGTAGAAGAAACTGGACTGCATGCTGTGTTTGGGTTAAACCTGCTGGAATCTCCATTTTTAGTTTGCTTGCACAGCCAGCAAAGGGAAAAACTAGATGGGGTGGGGAGGGAGTCCCCAGCAAGGACTGAAAGGTCTGAACAAATTTCAGTGAACAAACGTCAGTTCCTACAGTAAACAAATGGGTATTTTACATGCTTTCTAGAAGAAATCACCTTACTGGAAACTTTGGTTTAATGTAGCATGGATGTCCCAGGAAGAACTTTGTGCTTAATAATTTAGGAAGAAAGAACCTATGACCATCTCAGAAAACTTCTTTCCTCTTCTTAGTGGAAATAGCAAAGGACTGAGCCCGTGGAAGTGTGAATAACCCCTTTTCACAGGTCATGGAATTTGCTTGTTCTTCAGAGCAGCCATTCTGTTTTGTGTTCATCGGATTGTGTGAGTCAAGAAAGGTGTCATCATCATCGTTATTACCTGGCCCCCAGTTAATCATCAAAAGGTTCCTTGATTAATATGAAATTAGAGAAAGGGGGGAATGATTTCATGGTACTTTATCCAGGCCATGGTGAGGTGCTCTCCTTCCCCACACACAGCACATCTCTAGTGGCTCCAGTTGTTCAAGACCCATAGATGAGTCCTTCCAGGGCAGCACTGGGCACCAGCCGTGGCGTGAGCCTGCCCCTCTTGTCGATTTCTTCCTTTAGATGTGAGAGTATCACTGATTTGGTTAGTCAAGTCACCCCGTCTTTGGTTTGCTCAGTTCACCCCTCACGGGATAGCTATCTGTCACTCCCTCCATGTCGTTAGATGAAGGTGACACGGCAGCCTTAGTAGGGAAGTTGGGCCTTGAGTGTGCTGGAGGTGAGCAGCTCTGGGCCAGATGCATATGTGAGAGTCCTTGGAGCCATGGGGAGAGGAGGTTAGGGAACTTTTGAGTTCAGGCCAGGGCTCTGGTCCTGGTACTCACTGCTGGTTTCCTTATTAAAATAAGGTAAAGGAAATTAGATCTAAAACAAGGAGGAGGTAGATGAGTTGCTACATTAGCTTAGAAGGGAAGAATTATAATTTAAAATGAAACATCTGCACAAGACTCTCTTGGAGGGTAAGGGGATCATGTCTTGTTTTTCCTTGTGTCTCTAAAGCACATAGTTCAGAATTGACCCTCAGTAATTGTTAGAACTAAACTGTGTTTCCTCCCTAAGATGACCTCAACACACACGTTCTAACCCAGAGACCCCCATGGATTAAAATCCACTTTAGAATAGTCCAGGGTCCCCCTTGTGGGCCCGAATCCTTTGGACTGGACATCTGTCCAGAGCCAGCTGCCACTCTGCTCTCCACAGGTAGATCCAAGAGGGTGAGGCATTCCTAGCCTCAGACAGACTCTCCCTGGTCATGTGGATGCCAGGCTCCAGCAGGGGGCTGGGGGAGGGGCACAGGCTCCAGAGGGCGTTTGCCCTCTCGCCCACACCACTCTTCCTAGGACCTGGTGGCGTGCCTGGGGAGCGTCTGGAAGCAGTGTACAGTTGCACTGTTTAAGGTGTGATGGGGCCAGGCAGTTAAGAGTCTTGCTCAAAACCTCCCTCTCTCCCCATCCCGAACATTTACTGAGGCCAGAAGTGCAGAATGTGTTTCGGGAACATCAGATAGTCTGCCGTGGGAGGTGAGGCTGCAGGCAGTGGGGGCCAGACTAGTGGTTCCACTGAGGGGTTGGGCTTTGTTAGAGAACTCTTAGCAGTTCTTGGAGCAGGAGGGTAACATAACTGGTTCTATGTTTTAGAGACCTGCTTCTAGCAGGAGTGTTTATTTGAAAAATTCCTGATGACTAATGCCTGCCATATAAGCAGTACTGCTGCTTGCTGGGATGAATGGCTGTCTTTTCATGCAGGGAGAGGAGCAATGATTATAAAAAGCCTGAACACTGAAACCCCCTAAAGCTGCTTATGAAAGGAGTTGAAAGAACTGGTGTAACCAGGGAACTGAATACATGGAATTGAGGGAAAGTAGCTTACTCGTGCTCTTGCGTCCACAGCTGTATCACCTCCCTCCCCAAAATGTACCTTTTTGTGCTGTTCAAATAGATAAAAATACCAGCACGGGACATCTTGGTGGTCTTCCTTGCTAGACAAGCAGTATGGTGTGTGGGTCTCTGGTGAGCACCCTGTCCGCCAGCCTCAGTGTGTGTGCTCACCCTCTCGTCACTAGAGGGTATGCTATATCCCTGGATGTGACTGGAGTCCTAATTTTTTCCTTAGCTTGGGGACAGTATTCACCCTTCCTTAACTCCTTGAGTCCTGTTGTTTATTTTTGACCCACGCTTGATTTATTGGTATTTTAACTAGGTATAGTGAAGTTCAAATCCAGCTTTCACCATTATAGCTCTGTTATTTGGGATAGTTACTCTCCTTGAATCTCAGTTTCCTCATCTATAAAAGGTGGATAATAACCTAATTCTCAGAGTTGTGAGGGTTAAAGGAGGTGGGTCAGAG